TATGGGTGCGTCGGTCTCTTTTTGTAAACACAATGTAGTGCTTCCAGCTGCACGATTCGTTAACACACAGGGTCTTGAGAAACGTAGTGAGGAAGTCTTTTCTATCCTCTGGGAACTGCACCGCCGCACCAGGAGTTCCACCACTTGTTCCAGAAAAAAGGCTATACCAGTTTTTGGGTATTCTTCTCTCAGACGTATTGGAAACGCGCCCATGATGGTTTGGCTTTTGGAATCTGTTGATATTACGTCCCCGTAACACATATACAATATATGCCTATGCTGCGTGCAGATGTATTTTAGTTCGCCTGAATCACGCTGGTTGCTCCTTTCGGTTTCTTTCGTGTCAAACATCTTGTTGTATCTGACTGAAGGACATTGCTGGAAAATTTACGCAGTACAATTTTATTTGAAAAAATAAAATTTTATTTTTTAAAGACAAATATGCATTACAGTGTGTGTTAATGTATAAACAAACACGGTAAGACACAAAATCAACAATACATATGGGTTATCTCACGCTCTCGATGAAATTACAAAGTTTGAAGAAAGAATCGCCACTCGTTTTCAATAAGACTTTGTGTTTGCATTCTGTATTCAACGGTGGATCGGTACGAAGTCGGGTACCGCTTGCATGCGTATATAAGTCTTGTTATTTAAACCTCTACCCACTGCTTTTTTTTTTCTTAGTTTAGTAGTTTTGATTCATTGTTCCCCGCTTTTTTTTTTCTTTTTTTTTTTTTCTGCAACTTTTATTTCGGAAAGCACTGAGCGTATTATAAATATAGTAGTTCCCTACTTAATCAGGATTTATCATACTTCAGAGTTGCGCAAAAAATATCCTTAAAACATGAAACACTGGGGTTTTTCAAGGTGTGGTATCGTGATTAACACAGACGCACGGCTGTGGAAAACTATAAAAAGTTAGGTAAACGTTCGGAAAGCATGACACCGGTGCAAGGGTTAGACTCGCGACCTCTCAATCATCAACTAAATGCGATATACTTCACTGCCATGACTACATTGAAAACTTTCGCTCCCAAAAACGTTTTACGTGCGTGGTTTGCTCAAATGCCTCCCTAATGTACGATAATCAATTTGATTCGTTCAATTGGAGTGCGCTGGTAAGATACGGGGCTAAAAGTAAAGCGACCAAAAGGACGACAACCGGACACAACAAAGTTTTTTTTTTTTTTTTTTTTTTTTTTTCTCGTCCTCGTCTTTTTTGTAGCCGTTGAAAAGCTAATTCGGAGGAAGCATCAAGACGAGTCCATTTTACCTGAAAACAAGTGGCAGTTTTTAAGACATGTTTCACACAAAGATGAACAAAAAGCTTTGACTACGAATGTTCAAATAGCGAAGCGCAGAAGATCACAGTTCATTTCCGTAACGAGCAGCCAGAAAAAATAGTGCTAGAATAACATTGAAGTTTCAGTTGAAGTTCAAGTTTTAGAACTACGAATCGTGTGATAATCGTTTAGTAAGTGAGAAAAAAAAACGATCCTTTGTTATTTTGATATTAAACAGGTAAATGTGGCAGCTTTCAGCAGTCAGCTTTCGAGATGCCCCACTAGGTGACAGAAGTCATCCTAGCTTTCGTTCATAAATGATAATTTAACAAACGCTTGAGCCGCCTCGGTGGCTACGAGAAAAATCCACCGGCCTGTGGATCCACAGGTGGTGGGTTCGAATTCCGGTCGGATCCGGGCGGGCAAGACGCCGTGTAACCGAGGTTTTGGTTGAACGTCAAAAGATGCTCAAGTGGACGAAATAAATTCTCAGTTCTCCGCTGGGTCGTGCCAGATGGCCTTCGTTGGTTTGGCACATAAGACCCCCAAACTTAACTTTGAACAAATGCGTGTAGGGGAGACGCAGCATTCCTGCGAAGCGGGTTGCTTGACCTGCGTGATACCTCTTTCTTCTAGCGAAATGCCTTCTTTTATTTGCGACATTATTATGCGCAGTGTTGTGAATTGAGTATGTTTTAAATACCCGACTGGGTCTGAGGCATTGCGATCTGAGAGTCATCACCTGCTTTTCCTCTTACAATACTGGCACACAAAAGGGGCACTGGACGGATGGATGGATGGATGCATACGACTGAACCCTTTGAATTGTGCGGCGGCTTGCGCCACCTATATATTTTTTCTTAAATGACAAGGGTTGACATCTACTTGACATACAAAACATAAAGATTGAGTTTTTGAATGCCAGTAGTGCTAAAATTACGATCCGCCGACTCCGCAGAGCCATTAAGAGTAAAAGATGTCGACACCTTATACAACATTATGTGTCATTTAATCTATTCGGTGCGTTACAAATTATAAATTAACGATGGTCGAAATACAGCACTCTTTGTAGGAATCGTAGTTACTGCCGTGTTAAATAAACGGTAGCACAAAAACTTTCATCGCGTAATTAATGTTCGTGCAAGGTATATAAACCTATAAAAATCAACGTGGCCGGCATTAACAGTCAGTTCCTCCTGCAAATAAAACTTTCTGTTGAATATATTTCTTTGTTTACAAATAATGCATATCTGTTTGAACGTGTCCCTCAATAGCTCGCTGAACATCATGCAAAGAAAAACCCGGACCACAGTTTGAAAAATTTTAGAACTTGAAATGCACGAACCACAAAGCGAATTTTAAAGTTTTAGCGAGTATTAGGCGCCATAGAAACCATATTATAACATTTACGCACGCACTCAGTGTATGATCAAACATTAACAAACAAACAAAATGAATGAAGAGTGTATAATTCCGCAACACGCAAAGATACTTACCAAGAAATTGTTGGTTCTCGACTTAGCACAGTTACAGCCTGAAATGCCATGCGGAAGAAACGGCAACAGGCAACAAGAAGCGTCCGTCGTCATTTTAACTTCTGCCTTTATATTTTTTATAAGATTAGGTTAATGAAATACTAGCATAATGAAAGAATTAACAAGTTTTCATTTCAATTAGGATTATTAGTCGAAATAGCCGTTTAATCAATTTCTTTTTTCCACATATGCCAAATTTTGTTGAGAATACCTTTCAAGATTTGTTTAATTCTGGAAACGTTTTCTTGCAACGAGAATTTTTGAAGTAAAAACGTGAAGATTGTGCTGAACTGAAATTTTCTACAAAAATGGCACTACTTTCGGTAGTTGTTCCTTACATTAAAATGGCGAACATTAATAATTAAATTTGAAAGGGTAAAAGGTTGGAATGTTACTTACATAAAGAACCTAGTACTGTATTATGCTTCATCTTACAACAAATTGATTATGAAACTAAAAATTCAAAATATAATAAAACTGTGAGAATAATCTCATCTCTTGAGTATAATCTCATTTCATAAAATACTTCTAAATTCTGTGGAAATATTCAATAAATAATATATGCCGTTTGTCACAAGATCGAGACCATGGTTAATGTTTCCTTTATATGAATAAACATTGAAAACAGGCCGTAATTAAACTTCACGTTGCTTTTCTAATTTCTTACCAAATATGGACTTCACGCCAAAGATATATATATTATATATATATATATATATATATATATATATATATATATATATATATAAATATATATATATATATACATATATCTATATATATATATATATATATATATATACATATATCTATATATATATATATATATATATATAGTTTAAATATCGCATATTATAGTCTTACTTTTTGAGACTAAAATGATTCTCTGGTAAACCACCTTAAAACTGTAAATATTGCGTTTGTGTTCTACCAAATTGCTTGTTAAGACTTCGTTCGATTGCTAAATCTTGAAACAATAAGAGCTAAATGAGAACTGTAGTACTCATCTGGTCACCAAGACGATGACGACTAAAAACAGTTTATGACGTAACAGCACCGAAGCCTTGAGGTACAATTCGTTCTCTGCATTCGCAAATGTACGGCTTGTGGACCATGCTAGATACCATCTCGATTAGGCCGCATATCTTGTTTTGTGAATATTTGCTTGCTTATTTTCGTTCATGAAATCAGCTGAACAGGTTCCAACTGATTCACATCGGTTTTTGAGGCTCGTGGTGATATTCTCAGCTTTACCAGGAGTTTTTGTGAAGGGCTACGTTCTCCCTCTCAGTCTTCAGGAAACGTTGCATGACTGTTTTGCCAATATCTTGCTTAAATAGAGGAGTTTGTTACTCCCATATATTGAACATTTTTTTTATTCAAACGTAAACTTAATATACCATCCCTTTTTTTAATTATAATTCTAGACCATCCCCAACTTTGTAAAGCATTTTCCCATTGCGCCTTTTTTTTTTTTTTGGGGTAAATTCTCGGGAAACAAATAAATTTCAGTTCAACTCCATAAATTGTAATATTCTCTTTAAGAATTAAAGATGATAACGACACAACCTTATAGTTATTACTTATCAGAAACCCCGAGATCGAATACTTTTGTATTCTCAAGTGCGATATGTTTGTTTGCGGTAAGTCCAGACCACTTTTGAAAAATCTTGAATTGCTTGTTATTATATTGGAGGTACGTAGTATTCCCAAGACTTGTAACAAGGTTAGACTCATAACACATGGCAGAGCTAAATCTCACTACTTTTCTAAATACTTTGAAATCAGCAGTAGCTTTTCTTATTTAGCACAGTAACCATCTTCATGCACACTGACATACCGTGTTCAAACATCTTTTACCATGGTTACAGAATCGATGGTATGAGGCGCTTGTAACACCGTTGACGTTTAGACACCACGTGGGGACTCACAAGACATTCTGCTAGAACAGAATGTCTAGCAATGTTGGCTTTGGAAGAAATTAGTCGAAATATGAATACAAGTGCCGACATTTTCCGTATATTACATTGTTCGAAGATCTCAAAGTCATGTTTTTTGGTGCCCCTTTTAATAAAAAACAAGAATGTAATGTTTAATGCAATGCACACATGACCGTAACTCGGATTGCTGGAGATCACTAAATAGCTTGATTAATTCACTGATTGACACAACAACAAAATGAGAGTGCTAAGTGACATATTGTAAAGAGTCGCTTTATTATTTCGAGTAATATTTACATATAACTTAGCAAAACATGGCATCGCCTTTTTACATCACAATTTAAATGACACACACAGTATCCCTACGAATATCCTAGGACACAAAAGCTACTGAATAGCTTCATTCATTATACAATACCATCATATCAAAGGAACAAAATATGATACAAATAAATCGCGTAATATATACACAGACTAGCAACTGAAGTGTTTTTTCTTGGTTTGGGTGTTGTTTCGATGCTAAAAATGCTCTAACAATTGTCGTTAGCAGCTGCATTTCAATGGTAGCATCGAAATAAAAATACGTATACATTGAGTTCAGGTTTGATTACTCACAAAAAAAAAGAGGAATAAAAACCAAGTGGGAATGCAGAAACAACGCGTAGATTTTACGCTTTAACATTCTTTCAATCGGAGTTGGATTTATATTTTACGTCTAACCTGTCACGTCCTGCGTGCATCTATTTGCATTCAGCCCACGCAACAATTCAAACAAACATTTCAGATAGGATGTCATATATTAGCACAATTATTACATCCAGTTTATTATTTCTATCTAACAGTAAACAACAATTGATAGACACATCTATATTACGATTCACACCGCAATATTCCCATATTGAAAATTCTTTTGCTTTTACGTTGTAAACATTCGCCAAAACACATGCAAAATCTATTTTTGATATTGTCATTGCGAATACTACAGATTTGTATTGCTAAATACAGTCAAATTCCGCGTGGTATAACTGTTTGGAGATGAATTCCCATGAGTGTCATGAGTGTGATCCTGGGCTACTTGTTACCTCGTACAAAAGTACAAATGTGCCCCGTAATATTTTATGTTTTGCTGTGGTTTTGAGGGTGTCATCTACGTACCTCTGAATAGCTTTTTCGATAAAACACCTTATGTCATTTATTGTTGGAGCCCTAATGTATTTTTATCTGTATATATATTTTTAAATGTCTGGATGGTCTCAGCTCCCAGAGTAACTCTGACAGACAGTGTCGGCAGTCATATTACCTCGTACAAAAGTACAAATGTGCCCCGTAATATTTGATGTTTTGCTGTGGTTTTGAGGGTGTCATCTACGTACTTCTGAATGCCTTTTTGAATAAAACACCTTATGTCATTTATTGTTGGAGCCCTAATGTATTTTTATCTGTATATATATTTTTAAATGTCTGGATGGTCTCAGCTCCCAGATTAACTCTGACAGACAGTGTCGGCAGTCATATGATAAAAACTTACTAAGAAATCGATGCGCATTTTACGCTTGCCGACATATTTGTGCTATCACTGCTATGTGTATTTTTTTGCGGATTTTACTTTTAAATCACTCAGATAATTATGCGCTCAGAACTCCACCATGAAGAGTCAACAGTGCGGTTGAAAAGACAGACTTAAAAATAAATCGCCTTGTTATTTTTTTTTTATGTTTGTTTGGATTGCATAACTTGCTAGAAAAAAAAACCGAATATCTTTTAAAATAAGACCACCTAATTAATACACACCATAGGAACTTTAGAGAATAGAAAACCGACAGTTGCTCTCCGACGGAAACTAAAGAATCTCCGATGGAACTTTATAAAAATAAGTAATTAAAACAAGCTCCTATTTCGGCAAACACTTATTCCCAATTCGCGGGCGCCCCAAGGTGCACGCAAAACAGAGTTCTATTCGTATGATGAGCAAGGTCTTCGGGGACACACCAACGTTCCATGGTGTTAACCTTTAAGAATACTAGCCGAAGTAGAAGTATAGAGCGTCTAACTGCACTATGTACAACAATTTGTGTTCGAGCTGCATCGCGCGTGATTGTTTATTTTTATTGATTGTCGTTTTAAGTTACTGCTCGCTTGCTTGCTTTTCTGGACTCTGAGAAGCGCGAGGTGAAAGACATTTACTTTTTTGATACACGTTTTGCGCCAGTCGATCGCGGTAAAATAAACAATAAAGATGTGTGGCACTGGCAACAACTGCTGTGTCGTCTTAAAGAGTAAACGCAAGCAAACTTACATTGGTATGGTACTGTGTAATGAACTGTGTACCTCTTCGCAAGGGTACACCATTCATTAGGCAATACGTTTGCTCTGCAAAATGACCTAACGGCTGTTCACATGATTATATGACTTACAATCATGGTCACTAAATAAAAGCCAATTCTTGGAACGAGTACAATTGGATGGGAAAGTTATTTTTAAACTTAAGTCAGATAAAACATCGTATTTTGTGAAAAGTGTGAGATCTGCTGCTCACAATATTAACATACGCAAAATCGTTTAAGTTGTTACTAGATACAGACATCTGCATTGTGAGCCAACATTAAGAATAACCTATGGCGTACAGGGTTACATATGCCTTCTCAAGTCACTCGAGCCGCGGGTGATACATGAAGACACCAGACGGGGACAGGTCGCCTTTCCCAATAAACTTCTTCGCATAATCTAACTGCATGAGCTATACCCAACTAAACATAAATTACATATACCGCTTAGAAATTTTCATTATCAAGGAATCTATTAGTTCCTGAACTTTGATGCCGAAGAGTTTAGGCTTGCAGCGTGCAAGAAAAGGCAATCATCTTACTTTTAAGTGGCGGCACTTGCAAGAACCCTTGTTTATTATCCTTTCGTAAAGGTTCAAGACCGGAAACGACAGACCCCGATAATGATAGACTGCAAATCCTAACAAAGTCGGAGCTTGAAGAGAATCTACCATTAGAGCAAAAGAAGTGCCACGTAAAGGGACGACTAAGTGTTGCGTAGCAGGGCAACGACAGATATGTTCTACCGTCAGGACGCAATAAAGCGATAACAAGCGACCTGCCCCCGGAAACGAGCTATTTGGTTGTCTCGAACTCCTATTCAGACTAATAAAGTCACGGCGGCACTAAACAATCTTCCATCTCCAGAATAAAAAAAAAGAAAAAAACAGATCTAAACAGGAGATATTCCAGATAGCCAACACCTCAAGAGTTGCAAGCGGTACTTCCCGACCAGTCGCAGCACGCAAGAGGTCCGCACGCGAGCCAGTGCGGTAGAGGCTACCATACTCAAGCAAGCAAGCAAGCGAACAAGCCAGGAGAGGTCCCGCTAGAAGGCAAACACTGGTAGTTGATAACAAGACTAAGGTCACGACACAGACGAGGGGGGACCTTTGGGGGTGAACTTCGTGAGCTGCCTGTTTGGCGTTGCTCCTTAAAGGGTGGCCGGAGATCGCCATGAAATCCTCATTAGACTGGAGGAGGAGAAGAAAAGCTTTTCATTCTGCAATCCACCCCCTCCCCCTACTACGCCCTCGCCCATCTACGCTTGTCTTTTATAGCTGGTGAGAAGAAGGCGCACTGGTTCACGATTGCCAGGAGGAAGTCTTCGGTTGGTGAAGACGTGCACCGGAGGAGGCGTAAATGGCGGGAGGGGGGAGGGGGGGGGGGGGGGATAAAGGTTACCAAGATGACTAGAGCGCTTTTGTGAGGGGCGCATAAAGGCACGGGATTACACTTGTTCGTTCTGTAGCGGCACCGATGGCTGTAGCCGATTGAGTTATTGGAGGTTGAAGGGCAGGGCTATTGAGTTGCGGCCGCTTTTGCCGGGGAGAGCTGAGACCATCGCGTGCATCGTTTGCTTTTGCCCCCGTCTTTCGGGTTTCTTTCTTTTGTGATTAACTTTGTGGACTTCTGCTTCGGTAGTTGGGTTTAAATGATGCGTCGGTATTTATGGGGTCGTAACAGTGCACCTGACGTTAGCCAATGGGATGCTGCCTCAACTTGGCGCGCGTGTGGGGTGTTTTTGGTTTATCGGTGTGTTGCGTTCGCTGGAAGGTTGTTTTTAGCCTCTTGAAAATGTTTGAATTGCAATGTGGCGAGCAACGTGTGCTGGTATTTCTTATTTTGGCCGTGGGTATATGTTGTGTGAGGATGGCAGAGCAATAAATAAGTAAATTTTAGCGTCTTAGAAGATTGATTGGGCTATTTGAACAGATTAATCCTTGAGCAGTGTGAAATGTTCCCTTTTATCAGTGTAAACCTAGCACAGCCAAGAATGGAAAACATTTTACATTTCCTAAAATATGGCGAATACTGGTATTTGGTTCTTTACTAAAAGCTTTCGATCATAATTATTGGCGAAGTCTAAAACTTGTCAGAAAATGGGCACAGTAAAAACAAAACAAAAAATAGTTGTCGAAAGAAAGAAAAAGTAGACGTATACTTTCATAGGATACCATTAGTTCTTTCACACTCTCCAAAGTTGTACGTATCAGAAGCATCCGAAAATAAGAGCATTGCTAGATTAGAACACAGGAAAAACTCGAGCGCTCCGTTGTCGTATATCAGTCTTTAAAAGAAAGCTGTCCATGAAACGCACAAACGAAACTCTTAAATTACAGAATCATCGACATAAGCTGACCGAACAACACCCTGACTATCGGCATGAAGCCTCAACCACGTCCTATTCCTGAAGACCGACCACAACAATGCAAAAGGTGCGCAGTCTAAGTCTCCAGGAGACGCGCCACTAACGGCTTTATCACAAGAGACGTTGCGACGGAAACTCACCCTCCAAGTCTTTCCCCATCCTATCACCGTCCTCTCGGATGCACATCACCAGCAGTGGCGCCTACCGTTGAACATGGCCGTACTTATCCTTGCACCGCCGGACTTGACTGTTCACTTGTGCGAGCCTCTTGTTGAGGATCTTGACACTGCGTTCCGGCAGGAAAGGTAGATAGTTATCCATCCCCGGATCACTTATGTTGAAAGCACTGAACAGCCTCCTTCCGATGTCTCGGTCACGGCTGAGCCGAGCCACGGCCTCCGCTGTGGCCTTCCTGAAGACACACAGCGAATCCAGCAGAGACCTATGGTAGACCTCGTACTTGTCCAGTAGCCTGTAGCCGTGGACGAGTCCGGACTCGTTGTCGAGGAACACCAGGAGGCCCGTGCTCTTCTGCCGCAACAAGTTGTGCGCGGGCGAGTTCATCATCTCGGGGTTCCACTGCAGGTTGAACATGTTGTTCACAATGCGGTCCAAGTTGGCCGTGAGGTAGTCGAAGATTATGAGGTCCGACCATTGAACTAACTCTCGGATGTCGGCGTCCGTCTTGTTGAACACGTCCGGCGGGTGCAGGCGCCGCGCCGCCGGGGACCTAAACTCCACCGGAATGTTTGTGGGCACCAGGTCATCCACGAACTTGGTGAGAACCAAGGGTCGGTCCGAGCGCCACTGCGCCAACTCCAGGTTGGACCTGACCGAGTCCCAACTCCGGCCCGCGGCCCGCGTCAACACGGCAGGCGGCAAGTTGGCGATGCCCAGTTCCCTGGCGAGGTAAAAGGAGAAGAGTTCGCCCTGGATCTGGTCGTTGTTCTGCCGGTAGCGGGCGCAACTGAGCGTGCCAGACTCGAACACGACGAGCCTGTTCTGCATGCGTCCGCATCCTTCCCGGACCGCCCGGACAGCGGATCTCCTGGCCGTGGCCCGCCAGCGAGACACATCGCCGCTCAAAAAGCCTCTGGCGACCAGTCGCTCGGCCGGACCCGCCCAGAAAATTCCTCGCACCATGCCCTTCTCGCGGAGCGGCTGGTCCCGGCCGATCTCCGGGGCGCTCCCTCGTCCGACGGGCTGGCCGCTCAAAGAAGAAGCGTTGCCGCCGCTGACCTTCTGCTGTGTCTCGTCCACTTTCCTCGCGAGCTCGCGCAGGGGCAGCAGTACTCCGACGGTCATGCCCAGACAGAACGCCAAGCCCGCTGTGGCGAGCCAAGTCCGACGCCAACGCATGGCTACATCCATCGGCTAGACGGGTACGCTGTCAAACTTGGAACCACCACGACCCGGTTGCTGCCTTCTTACCGGCGTAGCCTAGCTGCATCCTTTGGCGTCGGGTGCCTCACTCTTCTTGTCGACCTTGATGCACCTTTAGGTCGGTCACAGCATCCTCTGTGCTATCACCGGTCAGTTCACCACGTCGACATTGACAACACATGGGGCATCCACCACGGCGAACCACAAGACGCACTCGAAGTCGTTGAAGCCGAAAAATGCCCATCCGGCCGGTGGTACGGGAGAGCGGGCCAGTTGTCGGAAGCCGTGGCGCCGGTCCGCGGAAAAGAAGGCATGTCCGCACCGCAGACACCAAACACAACCCCCACAGTCCGACAGGTAGGACGGATGACGAGTGACTGGCGGTAATCCCCGCGGCCCGCGATTTTATACGGAGCCCCGATGTGGCCGACGCCGTCGGAGGTATGGTTGGTACGGTCCTGGAGCGCGCTTGGTAAGGCACACGCACTGGTCTTGCAGGTCCCGACCGACACGAAGCCGAGAGCTGCACTGGCAAGTGGATCCCCTCGTCGGCCGGGGAGGAGAGTGCCACCGACTCACCCCCCGCGAGGGGGGGAAGCGGGGCGGGCAGTCTCCAAACAAGTCTCCTCCTCCCGTGGCACTACGTCATCGGGGACCGCGAGAGGGTCGCACAGCTTCGTTTTCTTTTTGGGTCTGTGTTTTCTTGCCGTCCCGTAAAGGAATGGAGGGGGGATATCTGCTCCAGGTGGTGCTTTATTACTGTTGAGCTTGCGGAGAGGAAAGGGGGGGGGGGGGGGCGTAAGAGGATAAGAGGAATGCGCTCTCGCAGGACGAATGCTTTCGCAGGGGGCGCCGCTGGCTGGATACCCGGCCACGCAGTGCTCCGAGCATGCATGCATGCTCCAAGACCGAGGAGAGGAGAAGGAGGTCGTCAAAGCCTGGTCTCATAGTCACGCCCTTTTGATGCTGCGTTTACTTTATTATCGCGAGAAGCCCCGTGGCTGACTTCTTTCGCTTTCATTTTTTTCTTCACTCAAAGGAGGGGGAGGTTGACAATTCAAGAAGCAAAAAAAAGAAAGACGGCCGAGGAAATAAATACACGTGACGAAGGAAAACGAAACGCTTGGACCGGCGAGCCGCTCCGGGAAAGTTTGCGAATTGGATTTGCGGGCCTTTGGTGCTGCGCTTGCCAGCAGCCGTGCTTGACGTGCTTGCTTGCTGCCTTGCCCCCGCTTGGCTCGCTTGCTCCCCCTTCCCCCCTTTTTCTGGCACGCTTGGAGTTCTTACTGTATGTGTCTATGTGTGTGTTCTATGTTTGGGAAGGGAAGGGGAGGAATGGGATTCCTACTGTACCAAGAACCGCACACGTGTGAGATGGGGGGGTATAGTTACGGACGGGGTGTCGGAGTGCTGCGACAGAAGACCGACTCTGTTTGATGCAGCCGGTCTTCCGCTGCGTCTGCCGCCGCTGACTTCGGTGGAGAGGGGTGAAAAGGGAGTGGAGGAGAGGTCAGGAAGGAGGCAGCCTGGGAGAGTGTGGGGAAGGAGGGGATGCGTGTAGAATTGTCCACCGCTGTGTTCAGCAGTTAAGCTGGTTTAGGAACGCGGGGGGTGGCCGGAAGGAACCAAAAACGAGCTGTGCAGCCGTCCGGGCTCTAAGGACGGGAAGGGAAGGGGGGGGGGGGGGGGGGGTTGTGCAGTGGTTCTTGCGTTTAAGGAAACTCAATTAGGTTGGAGGGGGTGAGCGGCATACCTTCCGCCGCCCCCGGCCTGGGAGTTTTGTTGCGTGGACGTGTCTATAAACGAGGCATAATGCCAAACTCGGGAAGTAATTGTCACGAGTAACAGGTTATTCATAATTAATTAGGTTTTCCATCCACTTTGTCATTGCCACGTTACATTTTCACGGCAGTACTTCTGAAACAAATTATCTCAAAGTAGCTCATTCTTAAAAAAAAAAAAAAAGATATATATATATATATATAATCGTATACCGGTAATTAATGTCTTATGTTCAGTCATTCACCGTGTACGCTATAACTGGAGGGTGAAATAAAAAGTGATTACACGTTCTTTTTGTTCTTGTATCTCGCATGATATTACTCTTATTTGGGTACACTAGTAGAAGCTTATGGGGTACTCTAGTAGAAGCTCGACGTCCAGCGCGGGACCTTCGGAGTTTTTAGAGCACGTAACCAGAGCACGACGGAAGGCAGCAAGCGCGGAGGGACAGCAGAGCTTCTATTGCATTCTATCCTGCCACCGACTGATGACAACTTAATATGGCGCCGTTGTTATTTCTCTCTTTTCATTTTTTAGAGCGACCGCAACGATGTGGCGATGTGGGAGTTTGAATGAATGGGAATACAATTTCGGAAACGTCGAATGTTCGTTTATTTATTTCCTGAGAAGTATCAGAGAAAAGTGGCGTGAAAGTAGCTTGTAACGAACGAGTAAAGTAATCGACTAAGTTTTTTTTTTTAACGGAAGTAATTATCCATCGAAATTTATTGTATATTTAAGAGTCACACCGATTAACTTGTAATTGTAAGTCATTCCATTTTTTAAAGTAACAGGCACAAATCAGAGCGATGCCCACCGAAACTCTGACTGTGAACGAGGCACCCTGCTGCGCATGCGCTCTACCGCAGCTATGTTACAGTCCAGCCGTGATGTCATTGCCCTCAGCTTTTAGTATCTAATTTACTTACTTATTAGTTTTAAGATTTATCTTAATATCCTTGGTGTTCAAAACTTAAGATCAAATATTTTTTGTTTTGTTAGTTCTCATTAGAGTAGAGACGCTATACAGTCTACGCTTTTTTGTAGTGTTCATTAAAAGTATTCACCTTCCTCCAAACTTCGCAAGACAAT